ACATATGGACTTTGAATATTCATATCATGACACAGCCAAATCTAAATAGATGCATTACAATTTGTGTAGTTTAAAGGCTTACTGGCAGAAATCAAGAGAAGAAAGAGTTAAGTTTATTTTACATAACTGACTGGAATTTTCAAGAAACAGTAAATGGAACTCAGTATGTTCTTATGCGCCTTAGAAGGAGGTGGTGTTCGGTTTGGAGGGGTGATTGCTATGTCAAGATAATCTCCTATTTGGAATTTCTGTGACTGCAGGGTCATTGAATCATCAGTGCCCTTTCTGCCAGATATGGTGCTGCCAATCTCCTTGACTTGATAGCCAGGTCTTTTAAGATCTGTAAAAACAATTGCAAAATTGAAGTGTGTGCCCTTCTTTCTAGCTTCTGGGTAGACTTCTTTCACCAAGCTGGTCAATTCTTTCAAAGTTGCATCCGTCCAAGTGTAGATCGGCAGCTCGCTGGAGGGCATGTTCCCGCGGGAAAACTCGTCCATCCGGTGGTGGCGACCGTTATTGGTAGTGAAGACCCACAGCAGCAGCGGGCACGTCTTCTCCCTGTTGATCAGCTTCTCCGGTTCCTTTTTAATTTCTCGCAAATACTTTTTCTAAAAGACAAGTTTACACATGGATTTCACCCAATGGGCTGCATTGGAATCAGATTGACTACATTTGTGAAAGAAGTTGTGGGAGAAGCTCAATACAGAAACCCAAATTTAAAAGAATGAAAGAAATTAGTTTTTGGTAGGAATGAGGTTCCAATGTTCCTTTTTATTGGTGAGCAGTTTTCTATTGTATGGATATACCACAAGTAGTTTATATTTTAATCTGTTTATTGATTGGACTTTGGTCTTGTTTCCAATGAGGAATAAAGCCTTTGGGTGGGCATATGCTTTCATTTCTTTTGAGTAAATGCCTAAGAGGGTAGTGACTGCATCATATCATAGGTATAAATTTAGCTTTTAAAAAATAACCATATTATTTTTCAAAGTGGTTCAAAATATCAATAGTTGATGAGTCTAAGAGAGTCAATATTCTCATTAGCACTTTTTTAAAAACCTAGATGTTTTTTCTTTTAAAATGTCTTCCTACATTCAGATGGCCAACAGTCATGTGAAGAAATGCTTGAACTCACTGGCAGTAAGAGAGATGCAAATCAAAACCACAATAAGATATCATTTCATCCTAGCTGCAGTGGCAAAGTTTGACAGGATACTGAGAAATAAATGTTGGAGAGGATGTGGTGAGATAGAAACTCTTATAAACTGGTGGTGGGATTGTAAAATGGTACAACAACTCTGGAAGGCTGTTTGGTGTTTCCTTAAAAAGCTGAACATAAGGGGGAGCTCTGGTGGCCTAGTGGCAAGAAGCTGCACTGCAATCCCAGAGGAACACGGTTCGAATCCACCAGATGCTCTGCCGGAGAAGGAGGCGCAATATCCTCCTGTACCAGTCAGATCTGATTTGACGGTACACGCACACAAAATAATAAAAAATAATAATTAAAAAAAAAGCTGAACATAGAAATTTCATATGAACCAGCTATTCCACTGCTTCGATTATACACCGAGAAAATGAGAACTGAGGGACAAACAGAGATTTGTACACCAATGTTCATAGCAGCATTATTCATCATCACAAGAACATGGAAGCAGCCCAAATGTCCAAACACAATCAAATGGACTGAGAAGTTGTGATATATTCACCCAATGAAATAATATGCAGCATGCAGGGGCAATGATTTTGAAAATTACTACATAACTAGGGAGGCCCTGGAGAGCATTATTCTAAGTGAACTAACTCAGTGTCATAAGGACAAATACTGTGTAAGACCATTATTATAGAAATAGATAACTAGTAAAATGGGTGTGAGGGTCCAAGCGGGAGGGTAGGAGCAAAGGGGTGAGGAAGGTCAGGGAAGAATTCATAGAGTCACACAATTTGATTGGTAGATGGAGAGGTGGGTAAAGGAAATGGGAACCAGCCTAAGGGGATCTGGAAGGTTGGCAACGATTGGCATATTGGTATTAATTTTATAAAATATAATGATGGGAGTGATTGTATGAAACACAATGTGAATGAAGACAGTGTAAAAATAATATGTATGAACTTTGTAAGCAAAGGAATAGAAAAAAATTTATTAAAAAGTTAAAGTATAAAACGTCCTCCTGTGATCTGATTAAAAGTTTACATTCAACAGTTGATACACCCATGTCACCTGACATTAGTTACAATCCCAACATTGTAGCAGAACTTTATACCTCCTCCTATTTTCCATTTCCATTCATACTTCTATCTCAATAGTTTTGGTTGTTGAGGTTTGTTTTCCCCAATACTTTTTAGCTTTATCAATTTTAGTCATTACGTTTTGTTACATATTGTTTATAGTGGTTATCATGAAGCTAATTCCACTTAATAGTAACTGCCAAGGGTTCAAAAGTACTTATGTAGGTGATGGGCAGACTTTTGCTCAGCTGTACCACTGGGTAGTTAAGAACTGCCCACATTTAGGTTAAGTAGTTAGTTAAACCATTTACACCGCCCATTGTTACATGCCAAACAGACTCATAGTTGAACCTCCAACAGGTTATCAGAGGCTGTAAATCACACAGGAGGAGACTGTCCAACTTTCTCCAGTGGATTTGAACTTTGAGTCTTTGGATTGCCAGTACAATCCCTTATCAATTAGGCCACCAGAGTTCCCTAGACGAATTGTTTTTGTTTTTATTATGTGCTGTCGACTGCAACTCCTAGTGATCCTATGAACAACAGATCTGAACCATGCTCTCTCCTGTGCATCCTCATCACTTCCAATACTCAAGCCCACTGTTAGTCACTGTATCAATCTATTCTGTTGAGAGTCTTCCTCTCTCCTAAGCTGACCCTCCACCCTTCCAAGCATGATGTCCTTCTCCAAGGACCAGCCTTTTCTAACAGCCTGCCCAAATTATGTGAGATGAAGTTTCATCAGGCTTGCTTCCAAGGAACACCCTGCTTGTACTTTATCCAAAACAGACTTGACCTATCCTGAGCCATCCTCAAGGTTTCTGAGATACTCAAGCCCATTGTTAAGTCACTGTGGAGTGACATCAAGGATATCATCCATGAAGAAAGCAAAAAGTTATTACAAAGGGAGAGAGAAAAGACAAAAATGGATGTCAGAAGAGATTCTGAAAATTACACTAGAACATCAAGAAGACAAAAATGGAAGAAATGTCAAAGCAGAAGTTAAACAGAAGATTTCAGAAGGCAGCTTGAGAAAAAAAGGCCTAGTGGTAAAAGGTTGTGCTGCAATCCCCAAGCCAAGGGGTTTGAATACACCAGCTGCTCCACGGAAGTAAAATGGGCAATCTCCTCCCGTGCAATTAAGTGCCTCTGAAAACCTGCTAGAGGGTCAGCTGTGGGTTGGTTCCAACTCTACACCTAACCCTAACCCTGCCAGTACACAACAAAAACATAATGAAATATGCAAAGAGCTAGAGTCAGAAAATAAAAAGAGAAGGACTCGTTTAGTATTTCTTAAGCTGAAAGAACTAAAGAACAAATTTAAGTTGCAATGGTGAAGGATGTTGTTGTTAAGTGCCGGGGAGTCGCAGGCAACTCATAGCGACCCTATGAAGGAGAGTCCTCAACGCTTGGGTGCCTTTCATCCTCTCTCCAGATGGTGAAGGATACTATGGGCAAAATCTTGAATGATCCAAGAAGCATCAAAAGAAGATGGAATACACGTTGTCACTCATCTGCTCCACCTAAAGACCAGAAAAGTTCAGAGAAAGAGAGATAAATGCCCTTAGCCTTGCTTCCTGCCTGGTCCTGCTTTCCCTGCAAGAGGTCGGGTTTCGTTCTTCATCTGGATCCTATGATTCCAGTTTCCAGTTCCCATTTGCACTTCCATGTCAGCGGGCAGAGTGACTGGGCACTGCATGAACTTTAGCATAAAGATTGTTTTCTAATGGCCTGGTATACATGGCCACCCTCCAGCAAGAGGGACTGACACAGAGACTTGAACAATGGGCTCAGTTATATCAGCGACCATGAGGATGGTGGTTAGGGCAAGGCTCAGATGTGTGTTCACAGGGTTACAGTGAGTCATCTTCTACCCCACTGGCACCTAGCAACAACAACAATGGAGGTCTTCATTGGATGTGTTGTGTACTATCGAGTCGGAACAGACCCACTGCCAATCCTCCAAAGGAGCTGGTGGCCTTGAACCTCATGCCTTTGGGTTGCAGCACGGCTACTTGCCACTAGGCCACCAGAGCGCCCTTGTGTAGGGATTTCTATTTGTAGAGGCTCTGATTTGTTATTTACCTCCTGAATAATTGTTAAGCATCTTTCCATCTGCTTGTTAGGGGAGCTCTGGTGGGGTGCCCGTAGGGAGCTGCGCTAACCCAAAGGCCCCGGGCTCTCTGGAGATTTGAGTCCACCAGCGAGCGCTTCAACGGGAGAAAGCGGGGCAATCTTCCCTCTTGGCGATTTACAGCTTTCGAAAACCCACTGAGGGTCAGGTAGGAGTCACTTCTGATTCCATGCCATTGTGGCGACAGTTGTGTTTGGTATTTTCCCATTAGCCAGCCATTTAGCATCTTTTGTGAAGTATCTGTTCAATCCTTTGCTGTTTAAAAAAAATAGATTAAAAATAATAATAATTTTTAAAAAAAATAGTTGATCTTTGTTTTTTCGCAATTTGGTTGGGCACTATTTCCAACTGAGTTTCTCACTTTGATTCTTTAAACGGCCACCGCCCAACGCAGAGGTAGAAACAGACCGGGAGACGAGGGGCGGGGTCCCCAGCCGGGGTCCCCAGCCCTTGCTCACTCGATGAAAGGGCGCGGTTCGGAAGCTTGGCGGTTGCTGGGTTGGCCCGCCCCCAGCTCGACGACTCACGTGGTGATTGGCTGAAGGAGAATTTCCGCAGGCACTTCCGCAGTCTGGCCTGAGTGTCTCTGATTAGCTGAGAGGACGGGAGCGCGAAGCCTCTCGGGAATTGTAGTTCTTGGGGCTCAGTTGGGGTCTCCAGGGAGGACCAGTAGACAGAGGCTGCAAACAGCAGCTGGACTGAGTCGCTGCCTCTGGCGCCATGTCCCGCGTGTCAGTGCCCTGCCATGTGAAAGGCACCGTGGCTCTGCAGGTTGGCGATGTGAGGACCTCCCAGGGTCGACCTGGCGTGCAAGTCATCGATGTCACCTTCCCTAACGCCGCGCCCTTCGAGGTGAACAAGCCCTGTGGGGTGGGCGCGACCGGGTCTCAGGGCGGGGCAGACCTGGGAACTCAGATGTATTCTGGACCTTAATTTTTTTACCGAAAAGCTCTACAGTGTCTCTTGCTTCACCATTGATTCCTTCGGTTAACACGTATTTGCTAGCATGCAGCTTCTTTACTGTACCCCTTAATATCTCTCCCAGTCGAGGACAGCACTGAGTAGAGGTGCCAGAGATACTGGCCCAAATGCTGGAGATACAGGTGTGAACCAAATAGAGGCAAAGAATCAATTATTTCCTGGCCTTGACTGGAGATCATTAAACAATGAGTTACTACTAAAACCTCTTTCTGCCGATTGCTGCTGTCCTTGCAGGTCAGACTTAAAACATCCCTACTCTGAATCCTCCCACTGATTCCAGTTTCCAGTGCTTATTTGCGTTTCCACGTCAGCTGGCAGAGTGATTGGGCACCGCCTAGTCTTTAACATAAAGGATAAAGTCCGTTTTCTAATGGCTTGGCATATTGGGCCAGTCTGCATCTGCACCCTGCCTGAAGTATGTGAGTCTTAGAAAGTGAAATGTCCTTAATGGACCAACCCTGGAGATCTTGATTTAGTGAGTCTGGGGTGGTGTCTTAACATGTGTGTGCATTTATAATCCGGCCCCCTTTGAGAGCTTGATGAGTGTGCAGTGATGAGAGTCATGACTCTGTTGTTTTTAGATATTGTTGTGTTGAGTACCATTCATAGCAACCCCACGAACAAAATATCTGAATTCTGCTCTATCCTGTGCCATTCTCACACTTCCTGGCACACAAGAGCCCATTCCAGCAGTCACCATGTCAATCTACCTAGTTGAGGGTCTTTCTCTCCTTCTCTGACCCTCCACCCTTCCTAGCATCATGTGCTTCTCCAAGTAATAGCCCCTTATAGCAATATGCCCAAAGATGTGAGTCGAAGTCTCATCATTCCTGCCTCTACGGAGCACTCTGGTTTCACCCTCTCCACGACAAATCTGTCATTCTCTTGGCTGTCCATGGAATGTTCAGTGCTCTTCTCCAACACCACAGCTTGAGCGTCAATTCATTTTTTGTTGTCCTTATTCATTGTCCAGCTATCAAATGCATGGTAAGTAAGCTAAAAGACCATGGACTGAATCAGACGCACCTCAGTCCTCAAACTGACATCATTAATACTCAATAATTTGGAGAGGTCCCTAACTGCAGATTTTCTCAGTGCAATGAGTCTCCTTATTTCCTAACTGCTGTTCCAGAAGTTACTTACTGTTCCAGGAATGTACTGGAGTCTCTCATTCTCTGGTACTCCATTTTGTTCCTTACTTCTCTTGTTTCAGTTGGTGAACTCTTCCTCCTTCAGGACTTATCTGTAATTTTCTGTGTCCTCCAGAGTTAGGGCTCTGGACTCTGGCAGCATCTTGGATGTCTAACAAGAACCGTAGTCATGGTTTCTTTGCATGACCTTCAGTTCTTCCAGGAAAGCAAAATTATATTTGAGTCCTAACAGATTCTTATTGAATCTACTATGCTTGTTGAGATGCTAGTACATTTTTAAGGGGACTAAAAGATGGTGTTTGATGAACTTTCTGGGCACTGGTCCTGGATCTGAGTCTGATTGGTTGGTGACATGTGCTTTAGTTGCAGGAAATCATGTTTAAGAATTACTACACAGCTTTTCTGACTATTCGTGTGCGCCAGAACAACTCGATACACGCACCAGCCAAATGGGTGACCTGCCTGCGGAATTACTGCCTGATGCCTGACCCTCACAGTGAGGAGGGGGCCCAGGAGTATGTATCACTGTTCAAGCACCAGGTCAGCTGGGCCTTGGCATGGGCAGGGGAACCCAAATAAGGGCTTACAGGGGGCCTGGGGCCAGGGAAAAGGAGGGGTAAAGCTATGGTTATATGAGCACATTGGAAGGACTACTGTTCTTTCCTTTCCAAAGGCCTAGGAGGCAACATTTTGGCCCACTGCTGATTGGGTGGCTCCCAGGCAGTGAGCTGGGGCCTCGCTGGGTCCTTGTGTATGTGTATCAGATGCTGTGTGACATGACCAGAGTATTGGAGCTACGCCTGATTCTTCGGCAGCCATCACCACTGTGGCTGTCGTTCACAGTGGAGGAGCTGCAGATCTACCAGCAGGGACCCAAGGTAGGTGCTGGGTTTGGAGCTATTGACTGGCCCTTCCCCTAGGAGGTTTTCAGTTATGGTTGAGTTAGTGGTAGGAGATGTGTGAGGATGGTGAGACTTAGAAGAAGGTCTTTATGAACATTGGTTGAGTAGGAATGACTCAAAAACTCATAATGATGGTTGAAGTTCACATATCTCCTAACTTTTGTGGCAACTACCAGCCATTCCCTCCTAACCTTTGTTGCTATTGGCCACTCCCAGAACCAGGAACCTTAAACTACTGGCAAAACCTTCTCTTGCTCATGATTGGCCACTATGTTCTTGGGGGTTCCTTCTGCATAGTAGGAGTATTTTTTTTAATTAAAATATGAGTTAAAATGAGAGTTGGACAATGACTAAGGAGGATAGAAGGAGAATTAATGCCTTTGAGCTGTGGTGCTGGAGAAGAGTATTGAGGGTACCATGGACTGCTAGGAAAA